TAATATAAAGGGGTAAAATTAAATATATATATATATATATAACAAATCTTTTAAGGTTATTTCTTTATTTAGGTTCTCTATCTTAATTTATTACATTCATACATGCAGCTAAAAAGACCAAAACAAATTTCATTCCTTTTCATTTATGCTATCCCTAGATTTTAGAAATAAAACAGTTGTGTTTTGTTTCATTTACAGCGCCACCTCTACTATTGGTAAAAAGCTTTTAATCCTATTGGAATAAAAATAACTGTTTAATGCTTTTAAATCAGAAACTATCCATGGTTTTGGGTAGTGCAAAATAGTGGTGAGGATATAAATAAACTTAAAACGTGCAATAATATCGCTTTCATGTGCAACTTTGATTTTGATAATCCTTTTACGATCTTGCTAAATTTTCAATTTTTTTTACTTTGCCATGTAAAGTTTGAATTCTTGAAAACGATGTAAAAAATGTATACTTTACTATTTAAATTTTTTTCGGCAAAGGTTAAATAAAATTATAAAAAATGATAAATATTTAATAAAAGTTATTTTTTGTATGGAATTATTTTTGGATATAAAGGATTTTTTTAATTGCGAGCAGAAAGTTTTCAATTCACTTAAAAAGTTCTTACGATCTGGCTATATATTCAGAAAGTAATATTATCTTTAAGGGGTTTAAGCTTTAGATCGCTCTCGTGACCAAACTATTGGGACTATTTTCCTGATTGCGGCTAATCCCTATATTTTGGGATTCAGAAATAGAAAACCTTTGAAGAAAAGGTATGAATACGTTGAAGAAAGGTACTCCCTGCGTTTTTAGCCATATCTGGGAAAGCTTTTAAATGAATTGAAAAACTTTTGCATAAAATAATAAAATTTGTTCATCCAAAGATCATTCTATGAAAACAGTTTCTTCAATTTTTTTATTTTATTTTATAAGGGTTAAAAAAAATATTGAATTGTGAGGCCTCCAAATTTTAAATGACAAAAGACAAAATTAGAGAGAAATCGGTAGAAGAATTCCTGAGTTAACTGATCAAAAAAGCCATAAAATTAAAATTTAATTGCTCTGAAACTATTCCTCTGATTTCATTCAAATTTTGTATTTAATCATTGCATAGTCTTAAATGATGTATTCTTGCCTTGCAATTTTATCTGTAACCTTATACACCTAACGATTCAAAGAATTTTCGAGCCTTATTAAATAAAAACCTCTTAATAGTAACTTTTTTTTTAACTCGAATTATGTTTTTATAAACAAAATTTATAATTTTTCGATTCGCTCAAAACTCCCCTGAAACAGCAAATTAAGCAAAAAGTGAAACTAAAATTAAGAAACCGCACTTTCGACAGTTTTCCTGATTTCGAAAGCAATCAGGAAAATAGCGTCCATATGCGGCTTACCCCCCCCCCCATATTTTGATAGTCAAAAATTGAAATTTGTCCAAAAAGGGCATGTTATTGGCACAAAATAAGTTTTCGTTTCTTATTTTGTAACTTGAAATACTGTCTGACAAATTAGCAATCATATTTAAAGGCACACCCTTTTGCGCCTTTATGAACAACACTTAATTCTTGAAAATCAAATCATTAGAACAAAAGTTATTCACGGTGATATCTTTTTTTACGCTCTGTACATGTTCAAAAATCATTAGTAAAAATGTGTAGTTCATAATTCAAGTTTTGAAAAAAAATAATTCAACGAAGGAGGAACATAAGATGGAAAACAAACCAACTATGAAACTTGAAGATGTTAACAAAAAATAAACATTTTGTATAAAGCTAATCAAGCCTCCCTTGTTTCACCAATAATTGAACGGCAACAAACTAACCAACGAATACTACTTGCAATAAATAAAACCATCATCAGTAATATTCGTCATCAGTGACATTTTGCAATAATTATTTACTATCATCAGTGTTATAATTGTTTCTTTTTTACTTGCTGTATTCATTATTATTCATTAATATTTACTATTACACATTACATTTAAGAATTAGGTTCCATTCCAGAGAAAGACGTTACTCGTTGTTTACGAAGATGTAATAATATACAGGGGTAAAATTAAATAAATAAAATTGAAAGAGTATTTAACAAAAGCAAACACAGCCTTTTGTATTCCGTTATTATTTCTGTTAAACTATATTTTATCAAAAACATTCAAATTTCCATAAAATCCCTCTTTAATAAAGGAAATATTTTACTTTTTAACAGTAAAACATATAATTTTAATCAAATGTTGTTTTTTAAAGTATATAAAAAGAGAACCTTTACGTAAAATCTACGATACAATAATATTTTAAGTAACGGCACGAAAACAAATTGCAGCTGATCGAATATTTTTATCTTTAAATAAGCATATAACGGTTATTTAGTTAAATAGTTTTAAATGAGTTAAAAATCAATAACAAGTCGCTTTTAATGATCTTTAACTTCTCATTCCCTTGAAACGTAATAGTATTGTTTTTGCCACTTATTGCACGATTAATCTATCATTAAATAATCACGCACGTTGTTTTCCTATCTATAAATGCACAACAATATCGATTGAAAGGTATTAAACACAAAAATACACCATACACCATAATTTTAAGTGACACCATAATTTTATTTAATGCCACACACATTTAAATTATTTTTAGAACGTTATATTTAGGTATATGTATAAACCATTAAGAGCAAATATCTTAAAAGCAAGGATCATACCTATGCACTCAGGTTGTGTTTGAGTAAAAAGTAACTTATATTTGTATAATCAGAAAAAAAAATTCACGAATAATAAAATATTCGTAAAAGTTGACACGCAGAACAATGGATCTGTCATTTAATTTTCTTTACTTGTTATTTTTAAATAAAATGGTGGATAAAATGTCTGCAAAAGCTTTCAATTGATTCCTTTGCGTAGAAATATCCATTCATCAAAGATTTCAAACAAAAGTTAAGACTTTTCGTTTCATTTTGCATTGTTTATTTTCTGTAGAATCTAGGAGTTTTTGCATTCAGATTCTCTTTTGGTCTAACTTGTGTGCAAATGAATTAAGTAATTAACATAATCCTAGGAATTAACTATGAATTTTACATAGAGTGGAAATTTTTAAACTATATCGGATTAAATAATTCCATAAAAATAAAAAACTTTCATTTTGTGAAGAATAGCGAATTTTCCTCAGAATCTTTATTCTCTGTTAGCTTTTAAGAATTAACTTTAACGAATCAATACGAATTTTTGACTAGAGATTTGACATGAAAATTTAGATGCAACCGTAAATTCTTCACACTCATTCCTAGTAGAAAAATATTTCGTCCAAGAATTCATTCGTCTTGGGAAGAACTGCAAACTCTTCTTGCCTACTCAACTTCTCTATTATCTGTTGTTCTTCAGGAACTGAATCAGCCTGAACTGAATTTAAACTTAATAATTAATGTCAAAAAGTTTAGATTAAGACGTTAAAGCTTCATATTTACAAGAATTTCATAAAGACATTGCAAAGAATGACGCCATATTTTCCTTCTAAACTAAGAATCGCTGCCCTACCAATTGTCAAAACCTTAGAAATTAAAAGAATCAACAATACTACCGTGATCTCCGGATTTGAAGCCGAATTAATAAATTTATTGTCACGTAAACTAAATTTCGAATATGAGATTCTTGTTCCCACAGACTCATCGTACGGTTCAAGGGATGCATCCGGAAACTGGACTGGAATGGTGGGAATGCTTGCAAGGAATGAAGCTGATATGGCATTTGCTTTAATGGGTATCACCGAAGATAGGTCAACTGTAGTGGACTTCAGCATACCGTACATCCCTCTGGATAAAACGTTTCTGATGCATCATGCTTCATTCTTGCCAAAAACATCAGCATTCATGTATCCTTTCAGCACACTCGTATGGTTTTTATTCTTTATCGTACTTCTCTTAGTCACAATGCTGTTTCGGGCATTGATTTCCCCAAAAGATTCTATATGTTCCGTTTTTATCATTTTGTGGGGATCTTGTTTCAGACAAGGAATAAACTACAACCCTCGTCCAATGTCCAGACGCATACCACTTGGAATTTGGCTTATTTATTCATACGTGATAACTCTGAGTTACAGCTCAGTCATGTTATCATTTTTAACATCCCCTATCAGAACGAAACAAATAAGAGATTTCAAGGAACTCTATGCAGCAGTCAGAGATGGAGCAATGGATTGCCGAGCTGCATTGCCCACTCTTGAAGCAGAGTATTTGTCGAAAAGTGACATACCCCATCTCAAAGGATTAGGAGAATATATTAAGAAGAATAAATGGTACTACACATCTTATACCAACCAAAGCGTGCCAAAACACACAGCAATGCTTGGGTCACCGTTTCTGTTTCGTTTAGTTTTTGGGTCCCCTCAAACCTACTTTTATTCGAAGGACGCTTTTGGATATTTTCCGTTCGGAGTTGCAATCAGGAAAGACTTCTGCTGCAAAAAGCGTTTCAATACAATCCTGCTCCGAATTTTAAGTGGTGGCTTGTATAATAAATTCATGAGCGATGTCTTCTTTAAATTGGATTTAAAGAAAAATTTAAACAATGACTTTTATCATAGTACATCAGCGTCAGCTTTAGGATTATCAGATTTAAATGGAGTGTTTTTTGTTCTCGGTGTAGGCTTTGCAGCAGCTGTCTCTGCTTTGATACTGGAAATCATCTTCAGTAGATGGCTGTGTTCAGAACCTCTCCAAGCTAAAATACACGATACGTAAATAACTTTTTGATTATTCAACCTTCACTATCACCTTTTTCCAAGCACATTATTATTATTTATTTTGAAGTCAGATGTTCTACTAAATCGCTCTGTTTACTTTTACTCCACGACCAGATTTCTACGCTATTCAGAAGAGTTAAATATTTAAAAGTCATATATAGTCTCATGACATATAAATGCCATGCAGATGTCTATGGGTTATCATAGGCCTATGGTATGCTGCCATACAAATTTCTATGTTCGCCATAGACTTATGTTATTGTGCCATATAAATGCCATACAGATCTCTATGAATCTCGTATGCCTATGGTATGTTGCCATACAAATTTCTTTGGTAACCATAGGTTGTCATAGATTACCATAGGTTACTCTATGGTAAATTTTCCTAAGGGATTTTTATTAGTTCTGACGTCAGTAGATGGTGTACATATCGCATACAAGTGCAATGCCAGAGTCAGTTGTGTTGTGGAATTTCTAACAGACTTCCTTTAAAGAGAGAATTTTTATAGGAAATTTTGATGTTTCTAATTAATACAATCTTATGATGTTTTCAATTTATAATGAGACATGAGCGATTTATGACTATAAATAAAAATAAGTACATCAATTTTACGACATTGCTTTGTTCAGGAGTAAGCACTATTATTTTGTACATCCTGCATATACTATTTCTCTCTATTATTTTAATAAACATGTAAAGCTTATGAATTGAGTTCGGATATTTTTTTTAATACTATTGAAAGAAATTTATGGAATTTGTTATAACCTTCCTTTAACTAATTATTTTTTACGAGCATCTAAAGGAAACGGCGAGACAATTTGCAAATGAATATAACTGTGGGAGTAGTTTGCTTCTAAATTCATAAATTGTATACCAATATTTTGCTTACATTTTGTTATTTATTCACTAACATTTAACTTTGTTAAATACCAGGCATTAATGTCTTACTAAGCTAAAAACTAAACTCAGTGGCGCGACAGCCCATAGAGGGCCAAGGCCAACTGTGCCCATCTCAGTTTTCTTGACCTTGGGCTCTGGTGTGCAGGAGCAGATTTTCTGGGCAGCCGAACGCGGAACCCCCAGTGTTTAGTTCCCAAGCATGCTTGGTACTCATTTATCGACCCACTGAAGGGATGAAAGGCTGAGTCAACCTTGCCCGGCCCGAGGATCGAACCCAGGACCTGTGGAACGAACCACTCAGCCACCGGGAGTCAATGTCTTTAACTTAACTTAAAATTGTAGTCATGTAAATATTGCGAGACTGAAAGTTGTAAGTTGCGTAATAGCATTTTTGCACTGTGGAAAAGGAAATTTCATTTATTTTTGCCGAAAATCGTTTCCCTGTATATGCTTCGACCAAAACTTTCTTCAAAGTGACGAAAGAACTTTTATCACTCCTTCCAGGAAACGAATTTCGCTCAAAATTAAAGAAATATTTTGTCATTCTATTTTTTCAACAACAAAGAACTCCATAGTGCCTAATGTGTATCTAAGACTTCGAATAGTCACATAACGTGGCAGTGACAGATAGAGCAGAGGGATAAATTACACCCATACCCGAAACGGGATTCGAACACCGGGTCTTTCTGGAGCGATGTCAACTCCTTGGCAACCATGCAGACTGGTCAGCTTAATTCGTCATTTTATTTTTGATTGTCTGATCTTTATTCTAGTTTAATCAGTCCAATTAACTATCTCCCACAATGCACTACGAAGAGGTTTCATCATATTTCTGATTGTTTACTCAAAATTAACGAAATACTGTTCAAGGATAGCTGAATAGTCAAAAGTGAAAGTTTCATTTCTGAGAATGTACCATTCTTTATTCTAATTTAGTGTTACACCCTAAATGCGTTTTACAATCAACTAATCAAAATATATTTACGCGCTTATTTGAGCTTTTTTTAACCATTGTATTCATGAATGTTTAAGTATTATATTTTAAGAAAAAGCGAAACGTTTTTTCATATCTTAGTGTTTCTGACTAAGTGTTTGAGCTGTCCAAAACATTAAGATTTTTCTATTACTTATATTACGAACGTCTTAATTACGAACTAGATGCATCTAGCTAGGTTTTCTCGAATTGTTATTTTTGAAGTTATACTTCTTATGCGACTTCCAACAAGGAAGCGTTAAACGTTTAACGCTACATTTTTATTGGCCGGGAAATCACGTGGTAGGATCCAGTTTTCCCTCATTCATTTCCATATTGATTTGATTCTCACTAACATAAAAATAATAAAAGTCTTAAAACTTTTGTTTTTCTATAATATTTTTTAGTTTGTTTTGATACACATATAATTTATTAGGGAGCCGGAAAAAGAGTCGTTGAATAGAACTAGTGATCCTTCTACGACTGCTGATTCTTCTACAATTAACGTCGCAGGTTACGAAGTTTAACTTCTTCCGCGCGGAGGGACTCCACGCACTTTTTTTTTTTTTATTAATCTCTTTTTTAAATCTCTCATATCAAATACCAAAATTTTTGTTGTGTACGTTTATAATTTTAATTCCACCAATTATGAATGTAGATATAACTTGTTTATTTTTGACAAAAAAAATTTCATATCTAATTATGATTATTGTAGACGTGAAATTTAAAGAAATTGGTAAAATGATATTATAAGATATTTTTTGAAAGTTTTATTTATATATATTTTTTTATTTCACTTATTAATTTAAGGGTGTCTATCTACTTTTTTTTGTACATGTATTCGATTAAATAGATTAATCTCTTATAAGTATATTGATAAAAATATACTTTCAACTAGGAGGCTTCGCCCCCTGCTCGCTCGCACTCGCCAACCCCTGGAACTGCTTTCGCAGTTCATTTCGGATTGCTTCGCAATCCGATGCTCGCTTTGCTCGCTCATTGGATACGTTCTTAACGTCTAGCTTTTGTATACTTTTTTGAACACTGAAGTTCCGAAAACTTTTCACTGTAGAAAATTCTAAACCTGTGCATTTCAATATTAATTTGAAATTGCAAACAGTTCA